TTGGCAGGTTTTGCTGGCTTTTGTTTGTTTGTTTGTTTGCTTTTAAGACAGGGTCTCACTCTATTGCCCAGGCCCTACAGCCTCCAAATCTAGGGCTCAAGCAATCCTCCTGCCTCAGCCTCCCCATTTGCTGGGACTACAGGTGCACTTATCACATCCAGTTAATTTTTTTTTTTTTTTTTTTTTTATGTTTTGCAGAGACAGAGTCTCATTATGGCTGGTCTGGAAATCCTTAGGCTCAGGCCATCTTTCTGTCTTGGCTTCCCAAAGTGCTGGGATTATAGGTATGAGCCACTGCACCTGGTCCCAACTTTGTTTTCTTTCAAAATAAACTAAATACCAATGACTAATGCGACTCTTTAGTAAAGATTTAGAATATGAATATATATATGTATACATGTATATATGTATGTATATATATATACACTAATCCTGACATGGATACCATTGAGATTGGTGTTCTGCTTGCAGACAGGCTATAGGACCTTCTACTGGCTGGGTAGGGAGCACTTGTGTGAGACCCAGGGAGCCAACCTTAGGGAAGGGACCCTAATCCAGTCCTAGGAAGAGACAACAATGACACTGCCACTTCCTTTTCAAATATAAGGAGATTTCCAAGTTACTTCAGTCATTTCTTCTTCCTCCACCCTACAATGTACTTGGAAAATATGCTGTAGGGGATGACTCATTTTCTTTTTCAAGGCAAAGTTTCATTAAACATGTCCCAAATATCATTTACCTTAGACAATGAGCCTTGCTTCTTGTATGATTTCTTCAATGAAATATTTTTTAGTTAGGATGGCAAAATTTAGCCAATAAAAATTCAAGATGCCCAGTTAAATCTGAATTTCAGACAGACAACGAATATTTTTTTTTTACTAGATGTAAACCCCATGAAATATTTGGCAAACCTTAACATCACATTGATTATAAAGATATGAAATCAAATCTAGATAAATTCTCCCCTAGTTTGGGGGGGTGGGGCAGTGGGTAAGAGTGGAGCTAATGTGTGTGTGTGTGTATAATATAGGCCACAGGGTGGCCATAAAGGTCGTGTGCAACTTGCCACCGCGTGTGTGTGTGTGTGTGTGTGTGTGTGTGCAATTGTTTGTCCTGGCCAGAATCTTCTTTTCTCATTTCTCCTCAGGGAAAGTCTCAGCATTTGCTGTACATACCACTCCCCTGGCATTTGCCTATACAATGATTTGCGTGGTGTTTCCCCGTGCGCTCAGAGTCTCCTCCAGGATCATAACATCAGCTTTTCCAAGAGAGTGCGGAGCCCGCGGCGTCCCCCTTCCAGAGTCCCCGGCGCCTTTCCTGCCAGGGCTTCCAGGCCGCCTCGGGTGGGTCAGGTGGACTCTGCACTCTCACTTCGGACCCAGACGCCCAGGGAAACTGAGATTCGGGCCTTGGGCCCCTGGGAGGCGCGAGGGAAGGAGAGGCGGCCGCGAGGAGGGTTCGGGTCCCTCGCGGCTCGGCTCTGCGCGCGGCGAGGCCGAGCGAGGCGGGCCCTTGGCCGAGGCCTGGCCTGCAGTCCTCCCCAGGCGCCGCGCCGCCCGCTGTCCCGCAGGGGCCCGCCGGGCCGGACGGCGAGCTGGGCCCCGGGGGCCCCTTGGCCCCGTGCGGGGCGCGTCCTGGGAACCCACCGGTCCGAGGCGCCGGGGTCGCGCAGGCCGGACCCCCCGGCTCGCGGCGGGAAGCCCAGGCCCTTCCCCGCGGGGCCGCGGCCGCTCGGGGCCCCGCTGCAGCCGGGCGATTCCTCCCCTCATTTGTTGCATTGTTTGCATTAATATGAATATCTTGTTCTGTTTGTTTTGTCTCCTGGGAGCCAATAAAGCTGTGAGTTTTTTCTTTACACCAAATGCAGCTCTACGGGCGATCAATCAATGGGTAGTCTTCGGATAATCTGTGAGAGTGAGAAATCTAATAAAGCTAGAGACTAAAAAAGGAAAACAAAATCTATTTTTCTCTCAGGTTAACTACGTCAGGATTAGTGTGTTCCACTTTTGCTGCATGAGGTGGGTTTAACTCTTGTTCTTTTTTTTCCCCCCCCTTAACAAATGGATTTAAATGTCAAGAAGGGAGGGAGGAGGGCTGAGGGGAGAGAGAAGAAAGAAGAGGGATGCTTAGGAGACTCTTCAATCTTCTGATGGTTGGCAGATGCTTTCAAGAAGGAAGAGGATACTTTCTAAGGTCCCAGAAAATGAAGGGAAATGTAGGACTCTAACAAAATGTACTTTGGCAAAGAGGTCCTTCCTCAGTTTTCCAAACAGACAGGAAATGTAAATTAATAATGAAGTCAACTGACTGATGAGGATACGTCAAACGATTATCAGTGTCCTCATCACTTGTCTGTTCCCGCTAGCCGCTAAACTTAACTCCCCAAAGGGATGATTTGGAAGACCCCTCAGCTCTCCTGAGCAACGCAAGAAAGAGGAGAAAGATCTTCTGCCTGGGCTGCAGCCTTCTCCCCATAGCACAAGGCAACCAAATCATTTATAAACAGATCAAAATAACAATCTGAATTATCTAACATTAACAGCTGAACTGAAGAGACCAAGATTATGTGATGAATTGTTAAATTGCAGTAGTATTGTTTTGGATTGCTAATTAAAAAAATAAGCAAACCCCATGACTCTAGATATGACAACTGAAAATACCCACAAATTATTTAATAAATGAAGTGTCTAACAACTTTAACACTTCCTGGTCGCCTTGTTAATAAATGTAATTTGAGGTAGATTTTAAAAATCTTCAATCTAAACAGTGAATTCATTACGCGCCATTCAGATCTCTGGATGCCTATGGACTTCTTGGAATTAGGTGTTAAATAGACAAAAGTGAACCAAACTGCCTTTAAAAGCACAGCATGACCATGTAATTCTTTTTCCAGTTTGTGGTAAAAAATGATGAAACTTCTTTCCAAGTAGCTATCACCCAGATTTAGTGTGAAAAGTAGCGTAATTGTAATTCACGCCATCAGGGTCTATCGCTGATAGACGATCAGCTGTTCTGTAGTGGGGAGAGGCTTTCTTTTCAAATAGGAAAGCTGCCAAGTGCTCTGCGATACCTCCAGCAAGCTTATCGGATTGAGTTCAGAGCCAAAACAGCAGCTGCACACATATGCAAATTGGCAATTAATAGTATAACATTCTGCAAAAAAAAAAAAGAAAAAAAAATGTTTAAAAAAAATTTTAAAGAAAATAGAAAGAAGCTACCTGAACATTAACCTTAACTCTAACTGGGACTTCTAAGATGAATGACTAAGGATTAATTACCCTCTGGAGAGGACTTGCTCTTTAATACTTTCTCTCCTGCAGATCAAGTCTTTGTTGTCTTGCTGAGTTTTGTCTGTTTCATGGAACACAACAATGGGCTCTACAGGAAGAAGTTTAAAATAACTAAAAAGCCCTTATATTTTGACTCCAGAAAAGAGGGAAATTAAGTCCTTTTCATTGATCATTCTTTTCATACATAGAGATCACAAAGTAAGAGCTTTACATCCTCAGGAAAAAGACATTTTGTTCTGGATGTCATCATCTTCTTCCCCTACAGCTTGCAGTAGGAACAAGCTTGACGTCCTGGGGGTGCTGCCTGTCTGTCTTGATTTCTGTCTGTCTCTTCCTCCCATTGACAGCAATGTCGTTTGTATGCTTCACACAGCAGTTTACAGAAATCCAGCAAGGTTTATGGTTTATGTTGCCCAGCATGTATAAACATAACACTCAAATGGTTTTTTTTTTTTTAATAAAAACCATATGAATTTGTTAGATTTCTAACATCCTGGTCCCTCCACTCCACCCCAATTCTCACACCCAAATACACTGTTTCCCTGATAGAGTCAGAACAATAGTTATGGCTGGGATTAGGTTGGCAGCCCAAGCCCCAAGAAAGGCCTGGCATTTTCACAGGAGCCTTCCCCCAGTGCTCTGAGGCTTCCTTCCCACTCCCTTTTTCTCCCTCCCTCTAGCACAGGGTGGGGGGAGGAGGTGATTAGCAAATGTTTCAGATAATCTGTGAATTCTTAATAGTCATATTTCCATGGTTGAAGATCTCTCTATTTCTGTGATATGACAGGTTTCAGAAACCTTGGTGTTAGGAGTTGTACAGATATATCCAAGTTCCAGGAGTTTGAAATTTGGGTCAAGATCCTGATTCCCGTTAATGTGTGAGGGCAAAGGAGGGTTTATTTTGCTTCATTCTTCTGAATTTTATGGGATGAGATTGGATCCAGTCCTGGCTGTAACCTGCACCATAAAAGTAGAATTGCAACCCTTATTTCTGCCTTTTTCTCATTTTATTACCTATGCTTCTAGTCTTATTGCAAATCATCTGTGTCTTAAAAACATTCCTTGCCACACATCCTAGGGGCATTTCTCTCATAATCTGAGATAAATTTTAGACTATTAATATTCCAGCTGAAAGGATATCATACACTTTCATTGCCAATATGGGCTTTTGAAGTTTGAATCTCAACATTTTTATAGGAAATTCACTCATGTAGAATTTAAATATGTTTGTTTATATTTCCTGGAAAAAAAAGATTTCGGATAACTGTCAATAAGCTTACAGTTCCACTTGGGGTACAGAAAATTTTGAGTCCCTTAATTAGAAGGCAAAAATTATTTCCTCTAAATAACCAAGCCTAGATCAGTAGATTACGCTTTTCTAAATATTTGTGATTAACAAAACTTTTTTTTATTTAATTCCAATAGGCGCATCCTATGTGCTGAAGACTATAAAAGTATGAGAGAAAAAAATGTAAGTATAAATTTTAATCATAAATGAGGACTTTTCTATTTGCTTATGATTAAATAAAAAATAGTTTAAAAGGAAAGAGCAAGTCAATTGAAAAGTTGCTTTTGAATAAAACAGAAAAATGGGAATGCCAACTTTCTTTTCTTCTCTATAACTTCATTAACATGGTTGTATAGACATTTGCATGTAAAATGTAGTTAACAAAAATTACACAGAAGTAAATTTAGTCCTCTAGTGCCTACCTCTATGGTAAAATCAGACCATTTGGCATAGTTTGAAGTCTTCCAAGAAGCCTGGTTTCCACCTGGAAAATAAATTACTAAATTTGAATGTGTTACTTATACTATGGTGAGTTGTCTATCTGTTACATTTTATTTTAGTGCATATACTAGAAATTGTATTTAAAGTGTTCTAAAATTGTCATCTGTCAAGGTAGAGAATTATAATAATATAATTATACCCAGGAAAAGTGTTCTGACTTTAGATTACCTTGGCACTGTTACAAATACGATGCATTTTTAAAATTCAAAATGTTTATCACAAATTTATGTGCTTAATTGTCAATTTTTGAGATTAATTTAAATTAGCTGTAGCCAAAGTTTATTTTCTATGAATTTATTGATGCATGGTTAATGCTTACACATGGTCTTCAATAGCATGTAAATATATATTCTATTGCTCTTGAGCTTAGCCAAAAGGCCGAGAAGCGATATATATACTGTTGCAATATTTGGCTGTACTTATTTTACTTTAAATGGTACTTTGTCTCAAAGTTATCTAAGAGTTTGATAAATATGAAATATTTATTTACGAAATATTTGTCAAATCATTGTTGCATTTTAAATTCACCCATATATCTTACTATTTTAAATCATGGGCAGTTTGACTCTGAGTTATAAGAACTATTTAGAGTAATCAAAGGTTCTACATTGCATCACGTAAAGTATTATAATGGGAGTATTAGTGAGATATCATGGTCAGTGAAGATACTACTCAATGAATTGATCCAGATAAAAACTACGTTTTATAATGCTGCAGGGGCGCACAGAGGGAGAAGATGAAAGTGTAGACCTTGGCTCTGTAAAAACTCATTGCCACAGCTCATGAAAAGAGGAAACCATATATCTTATTAAAATATTTAGACTTTTCTTCATTTCAAATGATAGGGCACTAATATCTTACAGGAAGCAATTTTTCTTTCTGAAATGTACATTTTCTAAGTTGAGTTAAACAATCTGAACAATTATGATTATAGAACTTTGTACTGTCAAGTCCAGAAATGTTATAATTTATTATAATATGCCCATATATATCTAATTACTATATTACCTTTGTGATGATCATAATTATTGTGTTTGTTATTTTTGAAATCCTAAAGAACTTTGTGAATTCAGGTGACTGTGTAATGGATACCACCTTCTATGGGAGTGAAAAGAAGAAAAACTTGATTTATATTTAAAGGTCTGATATTGGAGCAATGCAGTGTTAAAATATTTTCTCTTAGCACAGGGTATTTGTTTAAAGAATTTATCTGGAAGACTCAGGACATATTCTGATTGAGGAACCATTACTTAAAATGATAAATAGGGATTAATGTTAAAAATAATGCCTCTAAGGAAACTTACTTGGAAATTTACTAGATTAATAAAAGTGGTGGTGATAGAATAGTAATAATTTCTTAGTTAAGCCCTTTTTCTATGCTAGACACGTCACATACATTCCTTCATTCAATCATAATAACCACCTAATGAGACCAGCATTATTATCTTTGTTTAACTGATGAGAAAAAATGAGGCTAAGTTTAAGTCACATAGTAATGGTTGAGCCCCTAGAGCTGTGGGGCTCGAAAGTCCATGCTCCTATCATGTGAGGTGGTTCTACTCTGGTTTCTAAAGGATAGAAGCATGGATGAGGTTTGAAAATTGTTTCTTTCCTCTCTTACAATTCCGTTTTTCCTTTATGAAATCCAAGAAAGTAAATGAAGTAGTCCAGGAATTTAGCAGTGCAGTTGAGGTCCATTTGATTAGGAAGTCTTTATATGACTCTAAACAGGATTGCTTTGGCACATACATAAAGACTGGGAGATCTACACATCCATCCTCAAATTTAGCAATTCGAAGCAGTTAGCTACACGGACAGTTTTGTATGCATTGCTAAATGCAGACACAAAAACTGCATTTGCAAAAAGAGGAAACCCAGTTAAACTAGGTTGCAAATTTGGCCCTAATTTAGCGTAGCATTTGTGATACATATAGGTTAGAGTGACATTTATATAATGGTGTGAAATATGAGAAAGTTCCAATGCTAGACACAAAGACTTTTTAAAATTGCTTTTGCCTACTTTGGTTAGTTTAAGAAACAGGAGGAAGAATTTGGTTTTTCAAGTGATGGGAAGCCTTTAAGGATGTTGGAACACTGTTCAGTCCCCTGGGGTTCTGCCTGCTGTACAATTTTAAATGTCTTTTAGCTAAAAAATTGGCCAACAAGGGAAACACAGAGATGAAATCTCTTCTTTCTTATTGGGGAAATGAGAAACTATAGGTGGCTAACATAATCCAATTCCAATGGCCTCATAAATGGTCAGCTTTTGGGGTCAGAAAGACATAATCCTCCTACTTAATGTTTCTATTTAACTGGAGTAACTACCTACATATTAGAAAGTATTTTGGAAATTTTGTCCTTATGCTTGATTGTAGATGTAAGTTTCAGCTTAAGAACCACAGCCAGAAATGAGACAAGATAAATACACCCTGTTTTGTATAATACTACAGTCATGGTACCTGAAACTATTTCCATTTCTCCATCGAGGACCACTGGAGGGCAGTATTTTCTCCTTTGGGAGCAGCACCTGGTTTTATTTATTTATTTATTTATTTTAGAAATCATAGCTGTGTACATTAGTACTATCATGGGGTACAGTGTGCTGTTTCTATATACAATTTGAAATACTTTCATCCAACTGGTTAAGATAGCCTTCACGTCATTTTCTTAGTTATTGTGTTCAGGCATTCATATTCTACATTTAGAGAGATTCAGCACCTGGTTTTAGATGGAGCCTACATAGATGTGTTAAAATGACATCTGGGTTATGGAAAATGAGTTGCATTTTTCATTCAGGCTTGCTTGGAATTTACCCCCTTCCTGTGTAGGTACAGGTCATTCAGATTGTTACTTATCATACTACCAGCCTACTTAGTTGTACCTAAAATCAGATTCCAAAAGACCATATATAATATGTACCTGCTATTTGAGAGACTTTTAAAGCTTTATGTTAATTAACGATTAGAGGATTGTATAAAGTTCCTTTTGCTAATATAAATAGTAAATGAAAGAAAGATATTAAAGCAAGGGTATAAGTTGCTTTGCACTTGATAATTTCAATATTCCGTTAATTTTACATTAATTTTATTCTCAGTATAATTTTATTACATGTATACACACAAAGAAGTTTATGTTAATTGAATTCTTTTAATTATAATAGTCATTTGTTTCATTTTTTAAATATGAAAATACATTTTAGCTCGTAATTTTTGTCTAATAAAAGATTGCTATTTTTGCAAAGTCAACATACATTTTTAGTCTAATGATTTACTTTACTTTTCAGTACAGTGCCCTTGAAACTTTGCCAAAATAAGGCACTTGACAAAAAACAGAAATATCAATATCTGTATCACAAACTTTTAAAAAGTATTTTATTTTCATAACATTATTTCTGATTACAAAGGAAATTGTGGAAATTATGGAAATAAAAATGATAAAATAAAAATTACTCACAACCCTGTTATAATTATTTTTAATCTTTTAGAATATATTTTTATAGCACATTTTCTATGTACTGGTATATATTTAAGATAATTAGAATAATTGGCATTACTCATTTGTAAGCAACACAATTTAAAATAGATCACAGTTTTCCATATCATTAAATATTTTTCAATAGAATTATTTTTAATAATCATAGTATTCCATTGTATACATTCACCATAGTTTATCTAACAAGTTTTCCTATACTATATATTTAGTAATTTCTAATTTTTCTGCATTTTGAACAATGCTATGTGAACATATTTATAGACAAGTATGTGTATACATCTCAATTATTTCCTCTAAATAAATTTCCAAAAAGAGAATTTCAGGGTCAAAAAGTTCTTTACAAGTTTTAACCAGGTACAAGTGGTACGTGCCTGTAGACCCAGCTATTTGCAGAGACTGAGACAGGAGGATCTCTTCAGTTCAGGAGTTGGGGTCCCATCTGGACAACATAGCAAGACCCTGGCTAAAAAGGAAAAAAACAAGGTTTTTGTTTTTTGTTTTTTTTTTTTTAGTAAGTTTTGATACATAAACTTAGTATCAAAGGCTAAAGTGTCTTCCAAATGGAAATATATAGGAGTGTCCATTTATCCTTATCTTCACCAACACTAAATGTTATGAGATTTTTAAATCTCTAATTTGAAGGTTTGAAAAAAATGTACTTTTACTTTTTCTTACTTTGCTTACTTGAAAAATTTAATATATTTCATACTTTTATTTACCATTTATATTATTCCTTCATTGCTTACTTATTCCTATAATCTTTTACTTTTTTCTTTTGGGGTGTTTCTATTTCTTTAATTTTATATAAAGATAATTCTTTATATAATGAGGATAGTAAACACCATGCCATACATTTTAGAAGTATCTCTCTAAGCTTATCTTTATCGTCTTTTGTTATTGATTTTTTTCATTTTTAAATTGTCGATTTCTTGTGTGCTTTTCATTAAAATTCTCACTTATAATTTAGGAAATTGTCCTCACAAAAGGTTAGATAAATATTCCCTTCTATTTTCTCCCACATATATTGATGCTTTTGCTTTGATTTTAATTTTTTGTTTTTATTTTATGCATTTAATGCTTTAACAAACCTGACATTTATTTTATTATGTGAAGTGAGGATTTCATCTTTTTTCTTCTTTTGTTAAGCAACTTTCCCTGCATGTTCATTGAATAATATACTTCTTTTCTGCTGAGTTTAAAAGACTTTTGAATTTAGCCAAAAGCCTTTATGTTCTAGGGTCCATTCCTGAGATTAATTTCTGTTATACTGATTCATCTATCCTTCAAAATTTACCATAGTGTTTTAAATCTACACTCCTACATTCTGGTATCACAAGTCCTTCTTCAGTAATTTTTTTTTTTTTAAGAGACACAGAGTCTCACTTTGTCGCCCTTGGTAGAGCGCTGTGGTGTCACAGCTCACAGCAACTTCCAGCTCTTGAGCTTAGGTGATTCTCTTGCCTCAGCCTCCTGAGTAGTTCCCAATTGCCACAAGGCCCGGCTATTTTTTGTTGCAGTTTTGCTGGGGCCAATTTTGAACTCACCACCCTCGGTATATAGGGTTGGCGCCCTACACACTGAGCTACTGGCACTGCCCCCTTCTTCAGTAATTTTTATCCAAGTTTTTTCCTAGACTATTCTTTCATGTACTTCAGATTTACTGTATCAAGTTAAAAAAGATTCGCCTTAAGCACATACATCTTGCTATGGAAAAATGCCTGAGATATATTATACGAAAAAAGCAAGTTGTACAAGAGTATGTATATTATCCCTCTTATAATTAAAAAAAAGTCAGAAAAACATACATGTGTCTTCATGCCCATGTGTATGTGAAAATGCACCTTCCAGATACATAAAAAATTTCTTGAAGAATGAGCCAATTTTTTTTTTTTTTTTGAGTCAGGGTCTTGCTCTATCACCCAAGCTGTAGCACAGCAGTGAGATTGCAGTTCACTGCAACCTTGAACATGTAGGCTCAGGCAATCCTCCTATCCTCCTGCCTCAACTTCCCAAAGTGCTGGGATAAGAGTTGTGAGCCACTGCGCCTTGTCCCCCCAAATTAACAGAGGTTACCTTTGGTGATTGAGATAATAGTTGACAACAATGTGAATAATTAATGTTATGGTAACTGTACAATTAAAAATGGTTAAAATGGGCCAGGGCAGTGGCTCACACATCCCAGGACTGTGGGAGGCCAATGCAGGAGGATCCCTTGAGCTCAGGTGCTCTAGACTAGCCTGAGCAAGAGAAAGTCCCAGTCTCTACTAAAAATAGAAAAATTAGTAGGGTGTGGTGGTGCACACCTGTAGTCCCCACCGCTAGGGAGGCTGAGGCAGGAAGATGGCTTGAACTCAGGAGTCTGAGATTGCTTTGTGCTAGGCTAACACATGGCACCTCAGCTGGGGGAACAGAATGAGACTCTGTTTAAAAAAAAAAAAAAAGAAAAAAGGTTAAAATGTAATTGGCCGTAAAAAAAGAAAATATGGTTAAAATGGAAATTTTATTGTATGTATATTTTACCACAATTTTTTTTAGAGCTGTTTACAATGATTTACCTCTGGGGAGTTGATTGAGGAGGCAGGATATAGGCTGAAGGCAATATTTTTCTCTTAACACCTTTGCCTGGCCTGAATTTTTCACAAGAAGCCTGTATTAGTTTCATAATAAAAACACTTAATTTTTACTATTGTAAAAATTCATTGGAATTCTACTCAGAATTACATTAAGTTTATAAATGACATCCGACATTTTTATAATACTGTCATTACTTCTATAGAAATATTTTAAAAATATTTATGTTTCTTAGTAAAGTTTTGAAATTTCTTCATATGGGTCCTATAGTCTATTAGAATATGTCTGGATTTTATGTTTCTGTATTTCTATTTATAGATTGATGTATTTAGATGTAAATATATATATTATCACCTAATTGTTGTTGTTTTTAAAGTAAATTTGTCTCATTGGAGACTGTCTTCTAACTGTTTTTTATCTCAATAATTAAAGGAAACTATGATTTTTAAAATTTTCTTGACTTTAACCTTAAAATAATTCTAAAGTAATTAGCAAGTTTAAGTTAGTCAGTTGAAGTTCAGACTAAAATTATTGATTTATGTAGAAATACTCTAAGTTTAGTTAATAATATTGTTTTTATTTATGAGGCTTTTTAAATCATGTAAACATGGCTTAAGAAAATAGCTGTTAGGAGGAGTACTCTGTAATATAAATGACTATGGAATATAATATCTGTCATTTTCTGAAAAGGAATGCAAAGGAATAATGAACAAAAAATAATTATTTGTATAGATAGAACTTCCATGAATAATTTATGAGAACCTAGACAAGCAAGAAACAATAGATCTGACCTATTTTGAGTCCAGTAGACCTTTTTCTATATTTGTAGGAGGTATTGCTTGTATATGTTTTTTTCTCTTCAAAAGAGAAATTGTTATATTGTTCTTATTTCTGACTATAAATATAATTGTAAAAGCCATGATAATATTATAGAAGAAAAGTACTTTCTTACATGAAGATCAACAGTGACCTTATCACCAGAACAGCTGCCATAAATAGCATTTTGTCTATTCTTTGAATTAATTATACTAATGTATTTCACATATTTATAAAAATGAGAGCACATGGTACATACATGTACATACAGTTTATGGTCTCCTTTTCTCTCTTAATGTATAACCACTGCTGTCTTTTATTGTCCATCAATACAGGTCTCCTGAGTTCTTAATGGCTATCATTAAATGTGTATCTTATTTTATGGATGTTCCATAATTTATTTGATCAATCCCATGTTGGTTAACATTTAGGTAGTTTCAAATTTTCTACAATGAATGTTGTAATCCATCTTTTCACACTTGACACTTTATTTCCTTAAGAAATGAAAATGCTTGATCAGTGAGCCTACATAATTTTAAAACTTGTCTTAATATTAAAATATACTATGTCCTTTACATTTCCAGAATTGATCACTGATGAGCTTTATCATGCGGCCTATCATTACTTGGAGATTTGTGATGTAACTATTCTATCTTCTTCCTACTTTTCTTCTGGTATATACATCTTGTTATTGACTTGTAAGTGCTTCTCAATGATTAAAAATATTAATCTTTTATTTATAATACGTACTTTAAAAACATGTCGTTAGTCTTTTTGTCTTGATTATTGCCACACAAAGTTTTTATGTAATCAACTTAATGCCTTTGGTATCATTCTTTGAAAGATATTCTCTGCAACAGAATAAGAAAAAATTCTCCTATATTTAATTTTACCTACATGTTTTCATATTTTTCACTTGCATCTTTAGCCTAGTAGAGTTTCTTTTTAAGGTATAAGTTAAAAATGTAACCATATTTTCCCCAAATGGTTAGGTAAAATTTC